TAAAATTGAAAAAAAAAATATGTCATACCTTTATTTGAATGACTATTCTGAATAAGCAGCATTTCGGTTTCAAAAACATTCTAAAGCAAATTTTAATTTTTGATAAAGAAAAGGGCTTTAATAGTCATTTGAGTCTGAATCTTAAGCAAAACGCTACGTATCGATTTCAGTTCTCGAAATGTTTCCGCGCTTGTGTTATTCGACGTTGACTGTCGGACCGAAAAACCCAGGTTCGAATCCCGGGAAAGATCTAGATGTTTATAAATGTAAAGTGTCTGTGCGTCATAGGAGTAATCTAAATGAGCGGAGATTCGAAAGTCCTCTCGAGAGGTTGCGTCTAAGGGAGGAGGGGCGGAAGACCCTAGGACCCGGAGTGACGGGTCCTAGGGTCTCAAACAAATTGAGCTAAGACCTCTTTCAAGCGAGATTGGTAACAACAACAGCATATTACAGTCTATCAAAAGAGGTAAAGAATTTCACAGTTTTCTATAAATATTCTGTTTGGGAATAAAATTTTGTGTTCTTGTGAATTGACTGATCGTGCTTATACACGCAAAGAAATTTTTGAGGGTGTCTGTGCAGTAGATAGCATTTTGAAAAGAAAACGAGATCATTTCTTCATTTTCTTTTTCATCTGGTAAAATCATTTCAATCAGTTCTTCAGCTCTGCATAAGTTTGACGTCAGTACATTGGCATCACAGTAAATGCATTCCCCGACTGTAATATCTAAACCCAGTCGTTTCTAATCTCCTTCATCCATAATTAGTTTCATCATCACTTTCATTGTCAGCACTTTCTCTTGACTTTGACTCTTTCTCTTGACCCCTTTAATAAAGCAAATTATAATTGCTTGTGGTTTTGCCTGAGTCCAGGCATTTGAATTCATACTCATAACTTCAACAATATTTCATATTTCTGTGTTTCCTGTCGTTGTATTTTGAAGGGCTATACGAATCATGCTTCGCCTGTAGAGTATTTTTAAATTTTTAATGACACACAGGTGTGAAGTTTTGTACTACATCATACACTAGCGCAATTTGCCGGAAAGAAAACAACTTTCACATTTTGCAAGAATTTTGCAGTTTTATCTCCTCATACTTCTTGCTATTTTCTTGAGAAATTCTGTAAAAATTGTCCACGGTCATCCATGCCTTTTATTTGCTTTATATTCTAATGGCAGAAATTTAACGTGATTTAAGTACCTTGTGTTTTTATTCACTTTCCTTACAAAGGAAGGCTTCTTTATATGTACTATGGAGTTTCTGGGTTCTGTTTGGTAGCATAAACTGTAAAATATTTAGAAGACTAAGTAACGAATTTTCGTTATGCCTTGAAAATAAATACTGCAGAAGAAGGTTTTAAATAACCGTTCTCATTAAACTAAACTAAAACAGATACACGCATTTGGTGCTCACAAATCGTCACCACTTGTGGTTAACTAAAATTTAACAGAAAATAAGAATGTAACGAATCACTAATAAATTAAATAGCTAACGACTGGCTTCTTAGTTTAACTATTGCTAAATCGGGTGTACAACAAAGCCGAACCGAGAAATTTCGGTATAAACTGAGAAATGTCTAACACCGACTAGAAAGCTCAATTTAAACACGCAGCATAAACTTTAAACGAAGTTCGCTACTACTACTTTTCGAACTCTTGAAACGCAGCTTAAATACTGTTTCTGAAACACGTTTAGATTAGCATCTACGTCATAATAAATTTACATTACGGCAGGAAACTCAAATCAGGAGGGAAACTAAAGGAAAACTGAAAATAATTGGTTAGAATAAAATAAAGAACTTATGGTACTTTCAGAATTCAACAATTTTATCAGCATTAAAAATGTCTCTAAATTTGTGGCAAGTAAGTTTTTCAACCACTCTTCCAACCGAGTCAGCAGAAGATCTTTTTGATTTTCCGTTTATTATATGACACAAGATTTCATGCCGCAGTTTATAATTAAACAGCCAACCCATTTAAAAGCCAGCTTCCTTCGCATTCAGTCGAAATGCTGTTTTCTTTTTACTTCTCGATTAAAATAGGAACCATTCATTGCATTAGATGCACGACATTGAGTAAAAGGTTCTAGCAAAATGACATTCACTTCAGGTACCTTTCCATCAAGAACACGCAGTTTCTTTGAAGCAGACTGTCCACAAGTTTCTTCTGTACCTGCAATTTTTTTTATCATAACAACCGTTTTTAGTTTTGTCACAGGAATCGTCAGACCAGTATTCTCATTAAATTCTTTTAAGATTTGTATTTTATCTTTTAACAACAGTGATAGTCGGTTAATTCTGCTCCTTCTATTTTACTCAGCACAGTGTCTTCTTCAGAAGAAAAACAGTCTCTATGTTTCCTTCAAAATATTCCTTCTACTCTGGAATGTGTCATGGTGTGGGTGTCGTCTGATCTTCAACCTCTATACCAAACTGTTATCTCATGTCTTTGTTTTCTTCCCTTATCCGCATTTCTGGGGAAAATGCCAAAACGGAAAACGGTCCGCAGTTAGTCAAGCAAACGTGTTGTATAACCAACCGAAGTTATGCGACGTATAAAAGAAATATTTTACTATTGAAATAAATAGGAGTTAATCGGAGCTAAGGTGAAACGACGTATAAATCCAGAAGACCCGCAAACGATAAACATAAAAGCGGTGCTTCACCGTCAGACCAGTATTCTCAGTCAGTTCATAATAGCGAATACTTTTAAAAAAATCTGATGTGTTCACCACATGACTTCCTTGCACAGAATATAAAATTATAAGCATTTTTCCTGCATTTCGTTTAAATATATTGTATTGAATTAAATGTACTTTGCCGATACCGCATAAACCACAATAGAATAAATGCGCGTTTCAAAATTTACTATATTTATTTACCAAAGCGATGCTCTGGCGCTAGGTTCATTCAACAGAGTTACATCTCATTCATTTTATAACTAAGAATGCAGAAAAAAATACGTATATATATATCATCTGAAGAAATATCTAATCGTTGCCACATGTTCTATTCAAATACTATAATAAATTTAAAACGATGTATAAACGAAATTTAAAAAATAACCAATAAGCAATTTTCCACAAACGATTCAGCACTAACGCACATGAGCTACTCGTAAACATTCTTCTCTGTTCAAAATAGACTGTCGACAGTATTTTCTGCTAATTTGAAACACTTATTTCCTCACATTTCATTAGAGATGCATTTCTTATTCAATTAATTCAGTTCTCCCTTCGCAACAAAGCAAAAATACATAAAAACTCAAAATATCTTTATTAAAAATTTAAAAATATAGAAAAACATAGAACACCAAATACAGTTACAGCAATTCAAAAAACAATTTTTAAAAATAAAATTACTAAATCTTTAAATTAAATCTTTCAATGTTTTACTTTTCATAATTATGTTATACATCATATGAAGTGTACTGATTGATTGTGGCATATATTATTTCATAGACACAGAAAATGTTTTTAAGTAAAGAATTTTAAATATAAAAAAGTGTTTCAATAATTAAAAGATGTTCTTCTTGATATGTTGCTTAGAGCAGAGAAAAAATAAAGTCTTTAGATTACCCTATTTTAGAGCTTCTACTCATATATACAATATGCAGAAAGCATACTTTGGAAAACCGTATACTTTGGAAAACCGTATTTTTAACTTTATTTGTTGGAATGGAAAAAGAATGACTTCTTGCCACGAATATTTACAAAATTTAATAACTTTTAAACAGTTAGCTTACGATGTACGTCAAGAAATTTATGAACGTGGCTTTATCTTCCCATCTTCTTCTGAAAAATTTCGGATATTTCATTCATTCAACATTTTTATATGATATAACTAATGATGTGGATAAAATATACGGATAAAAACTTTGTTCATATCGATGATACAGTTTCTCAAAACGTTCAACAATTTGCTAGAGATTTTGAGTAGTAAGCATCTATAATTTTAATTATTTGCGGGTACGACAGATAAATTGTAATCATAAAGGCTAAGCCTTTACGAGTACTTGAATTCGACGTAATAGGAACGTAAATTTTGCTCCCTAGTGTTAGTGCATTGGCAATTAAGTGTCCATCCTAAATTTAATAACATGCATTCAGATAGCTGTTTCCACTAAATCTCTTCAGGCATATGTGTGGCTTGTTGCATAACATCATTGCATTCTGCACTTTGCGGTGAACCGTGTTCGATGAATTTAAGCCTACAAATACATGCATCACAAAGGTAAATTTAACTGATTGTTGAGTTTCTTGTTATGATGCCATATGATTTTTAAATCTGCGTATAAAGAAGAAATCATTTGCAATACTTGAGATAAACTAAAACAGAAAAATTCAAAAAAACAAAAAAAATCTGAAAGGTTTCAGATTTTAAATTGCGTCCAAAGCGGCGTTTTTTTAACGTTTTGTGTGTTACCTTTATTTATTAAATATCATATTCTTCGCACTTAAACCTCATACTATTCAAGTTCAACAGCAATATCACAAAGTAATTTAAAAATGAGCATATCTTTATAATTTCCGATACAGAGTCTCGCGCGCTGGAGATAAAAATGTTTTTTTATTCCCGTACAGTGTTGCCATTGCTCGATTTAAAATCGTTTAGTTTGTCAATCAAAAATTTCGTTAAATTTTTACAAAGTATGAAATAGATAATAAAACAAATTTAAAATTCAAATTAGGGCTTCCACATGCCCATATTCTATGGAAGATTACGTTATTCAAATTTTGATGGCTCTAGGTACCGTTGTTTTATCACAATGCGAGAAACATACATTTATGCGGATTCTTCATTATTTAATTTCTTTAAATATAAGACAGGGCGATTATATATGGTGGCAACGATTTGAAAACGTGATACAGCCTTGTAACGTTTTCAACGCAAAATGCGAAAACGAAATTAATAATCCTTCAGGACAAATTGCCCCTTCGGACTAATAAAAAGACATATATAGAAAGATCTAGAATTTATTCTCCTTATCCATTCGTAGGTAAATATGGAATGCTGCAAAATGGAGATTTGTATCTTCAAGACACATCAGATCATGAAAGTTCCTTCAGCTTCAGGTGCCACACGGAAAATTCTATTACAAGAGAGAAGAAAGTAAGCACAAACTATTCGAGGATCATAGTGACAGGTAAAGGAATACATCATTATTTTTATAGATGTCTTTGAATAGAAATTAATTAATGTTACACATGTTAATATATTATAGATGTCTGTTTAATAGATTTTATAATGTTATATACGTTAATATGATATAAATGATTATTTAATAGAATAGATATCTGTTTAACAGAATAGATATCTATTTAAATGAATGTCAGTTAATAGATGTTATAGATGCCTGTTTAACAGAAATTAATTATTGTTAGAGATTAATGTTATAATTAATGAATGTTATAGATAGAAGTTATAATTACTTAATATTATAGATTATTAATGTTACAGATGTCTGTTTAATAAAATGTATCGCTTAATTTTTTTTCTGTCATTAAAAACTTCTGTAAACTAGGCTATAAAATTTTAATTTAAATCAAATACTGGAATGAGAGTTGATATGAATGAACAGGAAATGAAATTTCTTTTATATTTCTCATTCGGTTATCTCATTTATTCATAATCTTCACTTACATAATACATTTTAATGTTCGAACGTAGTTGCTAAATCCAAGTTTCGTTCATTTATTTATTTACCTGTTCTAAAATCAAAACGTAGTACTTCATTAAATATGCAAAGGATAATATTTGGAATTAATGCTCTATGTTTTGAATGTGGGCGTGAGGTTTGATGACTTGAGTCCTTAGTATTACACTTGTCGTCATTTCTGAATGATATGAATTAATTTAGCATTAAATTTCATTTAAGTAATTAGTGATCCTAGAGAAAAGCAAAAATTTTTCTTCAATATTTGAGCAGACTTTGGCTACCATTCACTCTTATTAAATCTAATGGCATCAACTTCGACTATAACAGAACTTTACATTTGGTTTCTGTATATTTAGTAGTTTTACAACAAATGTGAACCTTGTGGAATGTTTCTTGAAACTAAAGTGAAATTAAATCAGGAATATATTTTACATTGTAGAACCACATCACGGCCAACCACCGAGGATCATGCAAAGATCTAGCATAGTGACTGTACCAATAGGACAAAAAACCACGCTATCGTGCGTGGCTCAAGGCTATCCAGTTCCAATGTATCGATGGCACAAGCTAGTTGGGAATCAGCCAGTGTCTCTACAAGTCAGTTCTTCCGCAAGACAAGATGGTGGTGTTCTGATCTTCCACAAAGTTCTTACTACAGACAGCGGGCGATACGTTTGCCATGTTAGCAATACAATGGGAGAAGATTCCGTTCAAACCGAACTCATAGTTGAAGGTATGTATAATGAAACCTTTATTCTACTCTTCTTAAATACAAATTTAAACTAAAGAAAATTTGCTTCTGGATTCACTGTATTATTTTCGGGTGTATTTTTCCCAAATTGTGAATTAATTCCAAAGGGAGAAAAACTCATATAACTACACTGCTTCTATAAATTTAATTGCAACCATGCATAATTGTCTATGCCTTGAAGGGCCATTTTAAAACTTTAACTAAAAATGTACCAACTTTAATTCCTCTGACGACAAAAGAGCCCAGATGAATGTCTTAAGCTTTTACAAAGCTATTAAATCTTACTAAATATTTTCCAAGCAGACCAACAGCAGGAAAAGTGTTGCAAAAGAGCTACATCTCCTCTGCATACTTCTATACAAAAGTAAATCTAATTTCAGTCTCTTCCTTTTCCTTCCTCAATAGAATATCGAAATATCATCTTAAATGCCTGAATGTCTTAAAATGAATGTCAAAGAGACAACACATAAAATAATTGTTTATTTAAATTAAAAATTACACTCTATAACTGTCTTAAACTGCAAATACTGCAGAGTAATAGATGTATCGTCTAATCTAAGCTGTATGCTTGATTTTAAATTTGAGGTAGCATAATTAGAAAAACTGTCATAACCAGAAAGGCACGTGTTGTTTCACTCGTGCATTATTTACTGGATAACGCCACTTAACAAATCTTGAAATTGAGTAACAAATTAGATTATATGATTCTTAAAAAGCACATAAGTGTTATCTGCCTAACAGAAGAAACAACTTCGTTAAGTGCTTTCTGGTTAGTATTCAGGTTAACTATGAAAGCCAACTCACCTGGCTACAAATCCGGGTTGAACTACTAGCATACAGAGGCCTTAAATATTGTGCCATTGTTGAGCAACCGAATAATCTATACCATTGAAATCTGGGCTTGTCTGTCTGCCTGTTTGTTTGTTTTTAAGCAATTTTGAACATTTTCATCTTCGTACGACTTTAATTAGCCGAGGTATTAAGTAAGAAATCTGAAAATGCTAATTTAAGCAATAATTTTTCCGACTGGCAACAGTCTTGCGAGCTGGAGTTTAAAATCTGCTTTATTTCGAAAAGTGTTGCCACTCGTAATCGTACAGTTTGTTAATCGTACAGTCGCAAATCGTACAGTTTGTTAATAAAAAATTTGTAGAATTTACAAAATGTAAAAGGAAAATAACTTTGCAAAACATTAAATATTATTATTTAATATATTCTATTATATAATAATTAGATATATTAATTATTCTATTATATAATATCAGATATAATAATGCATAAAATGAGAGTCAGTACCTTTTAATAAAGCACGCAAGAATCCTAGAAGGAACTGGAGAAAAGATATTTGTCACGAATCATCTGTTTCATTTTATAAGCATTTTATTAATACAAGTTGCCCTGAAATATTTCGCGTAATTTTTTCAGAGTAATAAGCAAAATACTACTTATGTCTATATGGTGAGACATGTTATCTTTTTTTATTTATATCGAGCCATAGTAACATTAATGGCTGAATAAGTTTAACTCCATGCCAGAACCACGAATCTGAAAATCCTTGCTGCTTCAGTTAGCAAACTCTGTTGATCTCTGTTTAAAGAAGCAAAGGGTCTCATCATATAAATTACTGTAACTTTATCAAACATTGTTCTTTTGGATCATGTGCATATATCTTCTCCTTACGCTTGTAGAGACATTAGGTATTTTTTTGGAAGCAGGAAAGATGAAAAATGAGCAACACCTTCCCCGGGAATCGAACCACGGACCTCTGGAATACGCGCCCAGCGTGCAGGCCACTACACCACAAAGGCGGCACGCTAAGAAGACGGAAGAAATATCTTATACGCATAAACTAATAATTCCCCTATTTGGACCATTAAACAAAGCCGAAAAATCTGCAAAGGGAGATTATTACGAATTTTGAATATCTTAATTGATTTTAAAAAGTTTTCAAAAATCTTTCCATTTTTCGACCATTGCACGGCTCATGCATTAAAATTTCAAATTTTAGCAAAACTGACTCTTCGTGGTTTTAAAAGTAAGTATGACAAAATGCTATAATTGTGCGATTTTTTTTGCTTCCCGCTGCAATATACAGCATTGTAAATCCAAAGATGAAAAAAAGAAAGCAAAATCTGAAAGGTTTCGGAGTTTAAATTACTTCCACAGGAGCGTTTTTTTAACATTTTGTATGCTACCTTTATTTATTAAATATCACGTTCTCCGCACTTAAACCATAAAATTCAGTTCAACAACATTATCACAAAATAATTTGAAAATGAGCATATCTTTAGAAATTCCGATGCAGAGTCTCGCGCGTTGGAGATTTTTTTTTTTTTTTTTTTTTTTTTTTTTTTGGTACAACGTTGCCATTGCTCGCTTTGAAATCCATCAGTTTGTTAATAAAAAATTCGTTAAAGTTTTACAAAATATGAAATCGATGTTAAAACAAATTTCAAATTTCAAATTTGAGCTTCCAACATGCTCATATTCGGGGAAGACGTTACGTTATTCAAAATTTCGATCACTCTATGTACCGTTGTTTTAACATGATGCGAGAAAATTACATACATTTATGCAGATTTTTCATTATTTAATTTCTTCAAATATAATGCAGGACTCTAAAATTTGGTGGCAACAGTTTGAAAAGTGAAACGGACATTTATAGGTGAACCAACGCAAAATCGCAAAACGAAAACAATAGTCCTTCAGAGAGAAAGCCCCTTTCGACTAATAAAATTAAATAATTTTTTTGACACGTTTTAGACAGAATTTTGTTAAAAGGTAAATAATTCTGAACATTTTAAACAGAATTTTGTTAAAAAAGTGAATAATTCTTTGACATGTTTTAGACAAAATTTTCTTATAATTTTGCATGTATATGTAAATGCTTAATGTATAACTATTTCAATAGTCTTAACAGATGTTTCATTTTTATTTAGCATTTAATGTTGTCGATATTCATTCTAAAATAAAGCTAATTATTTCGCAAATTTGATCTTTGCACCATCGAATAATAAGAGAAATAATTTTCTAAATGGCGCTTTTCACGGAATTTCCAACTCAATTCGCGAAATCTTGGCAACAATTCAGAAATCGTTTTACTTTTAACTATCGTATGTCTGCTGACATTAATGGATTTTTAAATAAAAGTATTTAATTCTTCGTTATTAGAAGTCCGACTATTTCAAGTATGGAGGAAATCGGGTCCCTAAATGAAGTTGGAATTTTAAATGAGCAGACTATAATGATGCGGCATCGGAGAGATTGAATTCGTTGGAACGGGGGGATTGAGAACAATATTTAACGAACGTCGTTACAACATGAGTTAGAAGAAATAGTTTTCCTTTCTCCAAAAGCAGTGATCTTATTATTTATTATATTTTTCTCTTTTAAATTATTTTAAAATGAAAAATACTTTAAAAAAATGGTTCTAGTTAAATGTTTTAAAAAAACATAAAAATAGTTTTTGTCCTATACAACTAAAATTAAAATCGTGAATTCTATACTAAGAATTGTATTAAGACATTGACATAATATAAAGGTACAATAGAAGTGATATCATAGAAGTATGTTAGAATTATTTAACTATTGAATGAGTCAAATTTCTCTCTTTCATTCAACATTTGGCATTTTTAGCAACTTCCTGAATGTAATTTTAATAGTTAAAGAACAAGAATGATAAAATTGCTAAGAATTATTTTTTAGTATTTTTTTAAAACGATGCAAATTATTATAAGAATATAGTTTCTTTTACGTCACTGATTTTTTTTAGCATTTGTACGAGCCTTCCTAATATTTATATTACAATTAATTTTTCACCTTGCTTAGAACGAGAATATTGTTTATTTATTATTACTTACGTAAAGAAAGTACATTCTTTACCATAAATAAAAATATGTACACTTTGCACAATATATTACATATGTAAATAAATAAAGGCAGTTCTATATCCCCCGTTCTAATGGGCCAATTGACGAAATTTAACTTTCGTTTTTCGTCTCTCGAAAGCGCAGCTTAGGATATATATTATATTTTTATATATTATTATTCTAACATAAGTATTTTGACACAAATTCGAACTTCTTCTGAAATAACATATTCAATGTTTACGTATTTGTACTCAACCTTTCAATATTTGCCATAGTGTCAAGTTTTGTAAAAATCTCAGGGGTTTCGCGAATCTTTAAAGAATATTCTCTCAAAATTTTAGTTTCTCATTGTTATTTGAATTTAGTATATATTTATTAATATTTCTTTTTTATTACACTTACTTGATTTCTTTCTTTTACAGTTAGAAATATAGTAGATTCAATCCAAATAAAATTGGCACATATTTTACATTTATTTTTTTTTTTTAATTATAATTTTTAATATCATTTATAAAATTTTCGAAAACGGTAACATATAAAATTTCTGCATTCCTTAATGTAAATATATTCCTATGCATACTTGCAAAAGGTCAAAGTTTTTTATACAAAATTTCAGAAGTTATACGTAAATTTATATACTGGCGCGTTTGGAAATTTGCCATACTTTTTATAAACGATAATAAAGCCAAAAGTGCTTTAAGCACTTTGTTAAATTTTTTTGAAAGAACGAAGTCTGTACCTTTTTTCTGGTCGTGCACAATGAAAAAAGGGAAAGGAAAACAATTTTGCTAAGTTGATTATTTTTGGCGAAAACTGAAAAAATCTGAAATAAGTAATTTTACAGAATATAATATTCGAGCACAATTTACGTTGTAGAATCAAAATTTAGAAAAAAAATCGCTATGTTATTTCAGAAAAGTCTGATTTTAAGTCAAAACACCTAATGTTAGAGCAATGGTATATGTAAATCTAAAATATATTATAAGTCGTGCTTTGAAAACATGAAGAACGCAAGTTAAATTTTGTCAATCGGCCCAGTACAACGAGAGGTCTTTTTTTTTTTTTTTTTTTTTTTTTTTTTTTTTTTTTTGGCAGAAAAATCTACGACTGACA